AAAGAATTAAAATCCAGAATCATTGCCTTGGGATGAGGTTCACAAGGATGAATGGAAGTTTCATTCCATTCTCATCTTGGCCAGAATAATATCAGACATTTACAGCTTTTCTTTTCTTTTTTCTTTTCTTTTCTTTTCTCTTCTTTTCTTTTCTTTTTGCTAGTGATTTTAATATAGTGATATTGATATCAGATAAGCTACACTACTTAAAAAAAATAGAAGCTCATATTTTCATTCATTTCTGGGCAGACTGTGCTTTCCACCTAGTGGGGAAATATATTTTGATATTTTTCTCCTACTTAAAAAATGCTTCTTTAAGTCTTTTGTGTTAATAGCGTTTGGTGTTGTTAAATTTTATACTGCAGGATTGGTTGTACAAAATAATATAGCATTTCACACATACAAAGCAATGTGAGAACTGCAGGTTTTAATTGATGCTTTATTGTTGCAATTGTTGGAATAAACTTTGGAAAGATCATTCCATACAGGATATAGACAAGTTTAAGGATATCCATTCAGGATATGGCTTGGGGGTGTTGTTCCTTTTTTAGCTCCAAGACAGACAGTATATTAAACACTGCCCGAAATTCTGTTGTTGCTCTAAATTTATTCAGTTCCATAATACGCTGTCTTAATTGCAAGATTCTTGCTCTGAGCAGGGGGTAAGGCTACATGAACTCCACTCCTTTCTGACTTTCAAATTTTGTGTTCCTGTGATTTGTGGCTCAGTCAAGCAAAACAGTGCATTAAATCTTTGCTCCTAATATTGTACTCATGGACACTCACATCCATTTACCTGTACTCCAGTGTGCTTGGGGAGTTCTCAGGCTGGGAAGGCTGGAGTCTGCCAGAAAAGATGAATTTCCTTTCATACAGGAAGACTCAGCAAAGTAAAACAAAGCAGACACGAAGTAAATTATTTCTGCTTTTCAAATATCTCTTGTGGTATCCGCTTTACCATTACTTTATCTCAGCACTTTCATCACGTAAATTTTTGCTAACAGGGAAGGAAGGCAAGAGGAGATAATGAGGATACTTGGTTAGAAAATCATGTGGCTTCAGCCTTGAATTTGCACTGTGTTACAATTCTGCAGTTGGCTCCATTTTAAAAATTAGTATAATCAGTTATATAGCTATAAATGCTCTTGGCTTCAAAATTCATTTTATTTTAATCTGCCATAGTCAAATGCACTCTGCAAATCTGCATGATATGAAAAGTTGCCATTTCTTTTACCTTTTTTTCCTCTTTTTTCCAGAAAATTGCATTCTTTAATCCACTAAAGATACTGTGCCCTTCTTAACTAATGTGGCCATTTTTAAAACTGACAGTAGTCTGGCCTGTCTGGTAAATTTTAATAAACATCACAAGCTATGTGCAGACATTTTATTTTAAAACGAGCAGTGTCCTTTTGCCCCATGAATATTTTTTCCTGCACCAAAAATATTTTATGTACTGACTAAACCGTTTTTAAAATATGACTATTGCCCCTCAAAAATAACCTTAATTATTTGATAATTTTGCAGAAGACTTTGTCCTATCATGGTAATCTATTACAAATTGCAGTGATGACAAAATTATGAACCATACCCTGCAACACGATAAAGCAGACTCTGGTTTT